TCAGACTGAACTGCCTGGCAGAATCAGAAGAGTAGTTAAGAATTTTGGGCTATTACAGATACACACGTGGAATAACAGCAAATTATCAACTAAGGTAAAGATGGAAATCTACTAGTCTTGCATGCTGTCATCCCTGCTTTATGGCTTAGAAATGTAGATATATACTAGGCGGTTCAAGAGCTTGAACAGCTTCTCCTTGAGATGCCTGCTTAAGATGCTGGAAATAAAGTGGGAAGACAAAATACCAAATACGGAGGTGTTGGAGTGTGCAGAACTGACACTCTTAGAAACTTCTGTCAAGAAGAGGAGGTTGCAATGGCTTGGCCATGTCAGGAGAATGGGAGGAGACCATATCCCCAAGAGTATTTTGTACAGTGACACTCAAGATGGCTCAGGAAAGCAGGGTTCACTTTTATGGCTGTACCAAGATGTAGAAAAATGGTATGAAGTCATTTAGTGTAAATCTATAAAGCTTAGAAGAGCGCGTAGAATCCCTTCCAATCTGAAGGTAGTATCTGGCACTGGATGCAGCACATGAAGCTGCTTTGATCCAGAGGATGGAAGCAAAGTGATAAAGAAGAGAGCAGCATGCTGTAAACTTGGAGTGCAACTCAGACAACACATGAATCTGTGAAATGTATAACAGCTGTGTTGCTGTCCAGTTGGGCTTGTCAGCCATGAATGGATTCATCAAGCACCTGACTAAACTTCTTACGCATACACTGAATCAGAGGATTGACGGTTGTCTTTATTTATAGAAAAAACCTTATGCGTGTGTTACTTTTCAGAAGCTTAATATATAAAGGGTGTTTTCTAATTTCTTTTCTCAAAACAATTAATTTTGAAGGAAGAATCTCTAAATAGTCACAGATAGAATAAATGTAAAATAATAGTGATCTTTTTCAAAGGAAAGCTAATCTAAACAAAGTTGTTCAGGTGCTTACAGTGTACAGCCCATTTGTCATTTCTACTTTCACTCTACATTGCGAAGAATATTGCTGCTTTAATTCTGGTAACATTAATGGTAAAAATTAGTGGTGCTATGGTATATACTGGTCTACAAATATTTTTTGAAGGCATCTGTTAATTAAAAATACATGTATACTAGTAGCTGCAATATTTGTTTTTCCTTCCTTTTTTTTTTTTTTTTTTACTTTTCACTGACATTTGTTTATTTTTTAGAGCTGTTTGAAAATGAGCATTTACGTATTGGGCAAAAAGGTAAGAATTTGACCTCAATTACAGTAAAATATGAAGAATTAAGAATACCTTAAAGAATTCTCTCTCTCAAATATTCAATCCTGAGAACTTTTAACAATTCTGCCATGATAACACAAACGGGTAATGCTGAAAATGTGGATACAGAATAGAAAAAGCTAGTGTTTGACATCTATCAGTAGATGCCAGATGAAATGTTCCATAGCTGGTTCACTAAAAGCAAAATAGGAAACATAGACACATACCTTTTTGGCAATAACTTAACCCATGCTACTTCTGAATTTTATTTAAAAATCAAAGGAGTCTGTTCTCCCTTCTGTGCACACACAGTTCTCATTAACCTTAATGGGATTTATGCCCATGCATCAGAAGAGAATATAACCCTAATTCTTTTTTTGATGATAATTCACGATTGCCGAATTTGATTAATATGGCTACACTGTACCGTTATGGAGAATTTTCACACTTTATTCTGTGTGTGTATTTCTTTTGAAGTATTTATACTTTACATCTGTAGGTTGAAAAGTTATCCTGAATTTTAAGAAAAAAATCTTTCGTAGTGCAAACCTGCTTAGAATAGAAGTGTGTAGTCTTGTCTGACCTTAAAGATACAATATCTGCACATTATTTTTTATCGTTGTTCTCCTTGACCATCATTTTCAATGGGTAGATGCCAAGTCAGATATGGCTTTTGGGAAG